CAGCCTATGGTATAAAGACTGCCCCTCTGCTCAGCGAAGGTGAGGAAGCAGCCTCTATAGGGAATGAGGGCTCCACAAAACTGATGGCCGATGGAGGGCAACCACTGACCTTGTCTCCTGCCTACCTGCTCCAAGTTCCACCCTCGGGGCCAAACCAAAAAGACAACCCTGAGCCGATGCTGACTCAAAGCAGCTGCAGGGACAGTGAGTTATTTAATGTTCCTCTTCTAGCCCAAATCTCTAACTCCCACCCAATGACTTCTTTCTATTTGGGTCTGGTAAGAAGGTAGGGGGAAGCCCCCAGTAGGATCCATCTGTGAGGACCTGCAATCAGGACCCACCAGCAGGCCATGCTGCTGGGCATAAAATGAGGCCCCTGAGAAGCAGGATTCGGGAGGGACCTCACTGCCAGCAAGAGCCAGGAGCGGAGCGCGAGCCCGAGATCCCCACGCAGTGACCCCTCTGGATCCAGGAGACAGCTGTGACATCCGAGGAGGAGGGACAGTGGCAGGACCAGGAGCCAGAGCATGAAATGGGATAGTGGACTTCCCAACCCACAGAGCATGTGTTTCTGTGCAGCGTGCTGGCTTGTAAAGTGGAGTGCCTCTGGGCGCTAACCGGGGGATGCTGAGCTTGCTGACCTTACAGAATGTGAGCTGAATGTCTTTGGGGGAAGGCTTTCTGTGGGGTGGGGTGTCCTTTGGGCTTCTATTAGCCACCCTGAAAGAACTTCATAACCTGTCCTGATGCCCTATTCTAGCCTGAGGATTTCTCACTTGCATGACCACCTGTTAACTTCCTGATAATAATCCCTTTCACCATGAATTTTGTCTATGAGTTCTGCGTAGCCATGGCAATGGGTATTAGAACCTTGAGAGAAAGTAGAGATTGCTACTTAAGATACAACACAACGGCCCTACAGGACCGGGGAGAACTGTGCCGGTGGGTTTTGAGACTCTATGTCTTTATGAGGGCAGACGACCTCCTCCCTCTCCTCTGGAGTGGATGGTGGATTCGAACTGCTGACCTTGCAGTTAGCAGCCCAACACAACCCACTAGTCACCAGGGCGCCCCATGCCGGGCAGTCCTAGGGTATACCTGTCGAAGATCCTCTGTGGCTGCATCATGCTATTCACGATGTGGGTCAGGTGGTCTTGCGCCGCGAGCACTTCTGGTGGAGGGTCGTACATGTTCACCGCTGACACCTTGTCCGGGGTGAAGAGCAGAGGGAGGGGGAAGGGTTAGTGACTCATAATGGAGGCGAGGCTTGGCTTCTCTGCAATGGAACATTTCAGAGATGCAGCAGGGGCGCAGAAAAAAAATGGATGCCCGTCCAGGGGCCTCCTCTAGGGTCTCTGTCTCAGATCCAGTCTGTTTCCTAAACCCTGAGTGGTGATAACACTTTGAAAATGGAGAGCGAGGGGCCCTTGGTTGCCTGCTTCTACCTACTTCCCAGTTTGGGAGGGAGAAAAGCACAGGCCAGCTCCAAAGTCCATGACGGCTTTTAAGATCAACTTCCAACCTGAAGTTGGAAAGGAGCTAAAACTCCTCGTTCTAAATTTCAGGTGGTGGTTGATTTCCTTCTTTTGTCTCATTAAGTCTGGCCAAGAATGCTTCTCATTTCAGATTCTGCACAAACTTTCACCTTTTCTCCATCATATACAGGGCGTCTCCCTCAAAACATACTCTTTCATTTTCTCTGTTGTCCCTCTAAGTACATTCATTATCCTCGCCGACCACCTCTGTACTTACTACCCGCTCTTCCGCTGCAAAACAGTAAAAGGAAAAAGACAAGTCTAATAAATGCCACTGGGTGTGAGGGAACAGCAGACTTGCTGGCATCTGGAAGTACTTTTAACCAAGATTTCAGAGAGGCGCTTACTGGATACAGCCCCTGCCTCTCGACATACTGATACTTGCTCTCATGCCTAGTCTCCCATTTGCATCCAGACTCTGCAGATCCTCATTAGTGGAGACTTTGGTAGTCGCCTCTGGTAAATGGGGCGGGTGAGGGGTGGTGCTGGGG